TTAGGTGTGGTGAGGACTTGATATTGCGCGTCACATTACATATTCCTTTGACACGCATTTTCACACACGTCTCTCCTGCACTTTTGTATTCTCCGCTTGTGTTAAACCTTTCATATAAGCCCCTGACCGTGGTCGAGGGGCGCTGGGGTGGTGTCTCGCTCACAGTGTGGTGCTATTGCAATAACACTTCAGACATTCAAGAATCAGTCTTTATTTAATCACCAGAACACACACACACACACACACACACACACACGTGTGCATTCATTTACTCTCCACAGAGAGAGTAAAATCTTGTGAATTAATGAGACCACCACATAATGTCTTAATCTCATCCAAAAACACGTTATATTTGGTGAGAGAGAAAAAAGTCTTCCCTATTTGATTATTTGTGCATGTGTAAATAAATATATGTTTTATCCACAGCTACATCACAATAATATTTAGGTTGAAGCTAAAACACTTGATCTGGACAAAACAGCAGCTAACATTTATAACTAAACTGATCTGAAACTTTATTTAAACTCAGATTCATCCCAAACTTTGGAAAACAAATCTGTTATTTTAGTTTAGAGAAATGTGCCGTGGATCCAGCATCACACCAGAACACCCCGCAAAACCCAAATCCAGCCTGAAGCGGCTGTGAGAAGGTGGTCTCCTCTCTGTAGATCAGCCTCATGTTTGTTGCAGAAACGTCGTAAAAGCACAAAACTCCTGCACTATGGTCCAGGAAAACCCCAACTCTGGACATGACCGGACCTGAGACCTGGGAAGAGATTGTATGAGGCCACACACTGCAGAGTCATAATGAGGCTGTAGGTGAATGGGACAAAAAAACGGCCCAGGCATTTTTGCCTTTTTGGCGGCCCAGGCAGGTTTTTCACGCTGTATACAAGTTGGTTTATACCAGGGGTTGGCAACTAAAAACAAAATGTGTCTGGAGCCTTGTATAAGGCTTATATGAAGGTAACACAGGCTGCAGCTATATTAGCCTAATATCTAAATGACAAAGTAAAGGCTACAAATACATTATCCTCATATTATCAAATGTTTTTTCACTGCAGCGTGTCCAGGAGAGAAAGACGCACCACGTGATGGCTCTGCTTTAACTTTAATTTTTTGCCTTCGTGCAGTTGTATAAATACAGTAAATAAATGCTTTTTGGCTCAGAGTTCACAGCAACGTCTGTTCATATCCATCACAGGCTGAAGTTTGCCAGAGCTGAATGTCCTTAAATGGCCCTTTCATCGTCTTTGCGGAGATTTTTGAAGTCTGAAAATAGGTGCTCTGAATTTTGGGTGAATGAATCCTCCAGTGAATTGTGTTTTGCGCTCCATTGTTCCTCGTGTTGCAACAAAACTTCTCATTACAAACATGAAGCAGTCCTTCCTCATTGACTGAAAGCAAAAGTTCATTATTTTTCTTAGTCCATTATCAACTCTTTAGCTTTGGGATCCAGCTCCGCCCCTGGGCACAAGGACGAAACGGCAGCACCACACAGCCGAACACACAAGAAAGAGACCCCACAAAATGATCTTTTAGCACCGCTACAACTTAAGCCTAGTGTATACTTGCGCGGCGTGGCTTACGTTAGCGGTTGCGGTGGACCTACGTAAGCACAGTTGATGTTATACTGGCGCGTTCCCCTTACGGAGTTTTGAGGAGAATGTTGTAATCCCACAACAAACCACATGAGGGCGATCACACAGGAGCGGTCCCATTTACGCTGCTACTTTGTCCTCTTCAGAACAACAATAACAAACAAAGCTGTTTGAGCTCATTACACGTGTTTCTACTGCAGGTTTATGTGATAGTTTTATGGATTCATTATTTTATAAGTCATTTCAACTGTGATGCTGTGAATAAAGACACAGTTCTTGTTGGAAACATAGTTATTATTAAATAGTTTTCAGCACAAACAGAAAAACAATAATAGTGGTAAATATCAGACAAACATGAACGATTTACGAGTGCAGGAGGAAAGCAACAAACGCAGCTACGATTCAAACAAGACAGGAACAGTGCAAAACAAACGACTGCACAGTTTATAAGTTAGATATAAGTTAGATATAAGTTAGATATAAGTTAGATATAAGTTAGATATAAGTTAGATATATGTTAGATATATGTTAGATATATGTTAGATATATGTTAGATATATGTTAGATATATGTTAGATATATGTTAGATATATGTTCGATATATGTTCGATATATGTTCGATAGTCCACAGTCTCCTGTATATCAGGCTCTGAGCACAAACTGCTTTTCCTTCGAAGCACAAAGCTCTCTGCTCCATAGTGCCTCGTCCATGCTCCCTGCTGCAGCCGCTCTGTGCTTCCTTCCAATACACACACACGGATCAATCACAGCGGAGCTTCCTTGCGGCAACCCTTACGTAGTTAGAAAATTTCGATGCTGCGCGGCAGGCAACGCAAGGGCCTTGCGGTGACCAACGCGTTGCAAAAGTGACGTCACGACACCTCCGTAAGCTCCGCGACGCGCAAATATACACTAGGCTTTACAGGCACGGCAGGGATTCACCCTGCCGCTGCGTGTTGTCAACGTCACGGTGCTCTTCCCCGGGTCAGGTGCCTCCTTGGACCGCCGCTCCCCTCTCCACCACGCTCCCTAACACAAGACCAGAGCCAGTACACAGTACACAAACAACGTTCGCCAGCTGCTGGGGCCTGAGGCTCTTCTGGTTGCACCAGCTAATCCACAGAGCGTTACTCACATACGAGGCAGAGCTGTCTCGCTCTGCCGCTGCGTGGATAGGGCACGCTGGTGCAGGCTGGGTCACTGCTCGTCCGGTCTTGTAGAGTCCTCAGGCGCTCCGCTCGCTCGCCTTCAGTGGCTCTTGTTCCGTACCGTTGCGCTCTCTGCGTGCTTCACCTGCCCTTTTGTCCTTTGCTTTCTCATTAAGCACAGGTGCTTCTAATTGTGTGGCACACAGGATTGGGTGACAGCGTCCATGGGGCTCTGTGGCATGTCTCCAGCTGGAGCAGGACTGACATGCTAAAACACTAAAAACACTCATGCATATATAAAAACACCACTGCAAACTATAAAACAAAACATGTCCTCTCCCACATGCCGGATCACAATTTCATCAGTGATTGTTGTACAGCTTACAAGAAGTTGCGCTCATGCTAATGTTTGCATATGTATCAGATCGCAAATAAAACTAGATGGCTCTGTGGAATGAGAGCGTAGGGGAAATGAGAGACCTGTGAGCGAGTTGAGGGGCGGTGCTAAAGATTCAAACCTTGCAGAAACAGGTATAGCTTCTTTAAACATTTCAGTCTACAGGCTGGACTGGGACTAAAAAACGGCCCGGGGATTTTTTCCTCCTCGACGGCCCGGTTTGTTGTCACATTTTTTTTGAGTGGTTATTTATACAGTATGCAGAAGCACATACTGTAGAGCAGAGGTCCCCAAATGGCGGACCTCGGGGTCCAGGTCTCTTGACTCTTTTCTCTGGACCTCCTTGATTTTTTTTTGTCCAAAAGGACATTTTACAATAATGTGTCAAATTTTCACCAAAAGCAATTTGTAAACAGGTAGGCGCGAGGGTGGCTATGTAGGTAGCGGGGTCCTTCGGGGAAAAAGTAAATAACTTTAGCAGTGTCTAAATCCGAGTGCGAGTCAGAGACTGGAATGAGCGCTGTGTACAGAGCGATGAACGCTCGCGTTCAGCTGCTCACACTGGCTGCGTCCAAATTGACAGAGGCTTCTGTGTATGAGGGAGAAGGAGAGAGACAGTGGTGTGTGAGGAGGAGGAGCGAGACATAAATACATATTAAAAGCATTTGCAAACAGCGTATGCCCTACTTTAGTGCCCACTGCGAGTGCAGTGGATTTTGGCATAAAAAGCCTTGTTGTAGTCAGTGTGTGTGCAGGTGATGGCAAAAACGTTATTTGATGGAAAGAAGCACTTCAACAAAAAAGATCCCCTTATCCTCCACAATTATCATGTGTTGCACCCTCTGCTCTGAGAGTTTGGGAGAGGTTTGTGGTGTGTTGTGTAGAAATAAACAAAGTAGATTAATGTTACGGCCTGGGAACGCCTTGGAGTCCCCCCGGACGAGCTGGAGGAGGTGTGTGTGGATAGGGAAGTCTGGGCGTCTCTGCTTAGACTGCTGCCCCCGCGACCCGGCAACGGATGAAGCGGAAGAAAATGGATGGATGGATGGATGGATTAATGTTATGTGTGAATTATACGCACCTATATTTAGATTTTTTTAAATTTATTTTTTAAATAGTTCTTACTTCTGTAGTCGTTGTTGTTTAAGGTTGCCTCATGGGAGGCAATGCGCAAATATGGGCAAGTTCCGCTAATCTTTCAGCCCCCATGGCTGTCCCATGTGCTACTGAGCAGAAGCCATTGATTTGAATTGGACGCTGTTTTGAATCGCCAGGGCTTTGGTGGGAAAAGCAGTTATTACAAAGCGGTCGCAGCTGCCCCAGGTCAGAACGCCGCGGCCACTGAGGATGCGAGATCCCGTTCGAGTACATACAGCAAACAACAGCAAGTACCACGTGGTCATGCACGGCCCTCTCAAACATTTCTCAACTGATTTACACATTTCACACTTTTTTTTGTGGCCCAAATATGGGCATCAGCTCTTCCAGGGCTGGACTGGCCATTGGGCAGAAATATACTACTATTTTTTTTTTTTTTTTTTTTAAATCCTAGCCCGAAGTTATCGAGTGAGAAAAAAAGCTATGCCTCACGGTTGACCCTGGCCTGGTCTTATTGCCAGAGAATCCCGCCTCGCTTCCCTGTGCAGGTGGACTTACAGGTGCGAGCTCCTGGGTAGTGGTAATACTACTATTACCACTACTACTGCTACTTATACTACCATTGCTACTACTGCTACAACTAATACTACTGCTACTAGTATTGCTGCTACTGCTACTTCTGTTACTGCTACTATTACTTCCACCAATCTCAGTTGGCGCTGTGTTGCAGAGGGGCGGGCCTTGTCACTGGATGCCATGTGGAGCTTCATCAAACCAAAGCTGAAGTCTTCATCAGAGGAGGATCTTTTGTCCACGGTCACTCAGCAGGTAACTACTCAGCAGATAGCAATCAAGCAGGTATAATTCAATTCAATTAATTTTGAAATTAATTAAATGAATAAAAACATAAAATAAATTATACCTGTTATTTAAAGTCATATTATTTAATGACAATTACAATCTGTAAGGAATATAGTTCCTTACAGATTGTAATATAGTGCATAGTTCCTTTCATACATTTCAAACCATAAGTAAATTTCTTTATTTGTGAAAGAATATTATCCTTATTATTGTGTAAGGTATTTTAATTTTTTTAATCAAATTAATTGCAAAAATAGTGGACACATATCCATATCTTTATATTCAATTTATTCAACATGATACTTGAACTGAAAAACCTGAGATGAGTCTCTGAGTATCTAATTTCAAGAGTATAATCGGTAACACTTTATAATAACTACACCTTAGTTAGGCTTAATAAATGTTGAAATAACACTTAATTAATCATGAGCAATTCATTAATTAAGTGTGACCAACACTTAATAACTACTACAGTAATAAATGCTTAACTCATAATGAATACATCTTCAAGTACTTCACTTGTTCATTTTTTTTTTATATAATTTAATAATCATGAAGTAACCATTTGTTACATATATAGATGGTTTGTTACACCATAATTAAACTACATGATAATGATTATTAATTGTATACTTGATTATAGCAGTGCTTGATTTATTCAGTCAGTTACTAACAGTTAAGAGTTTTTGTGAGCTTTTGTAAAGTGTACACCAGGGGTCACCAACCTTTTTGAAACCAAGAGCTACTTCTTGGGTACTGATTAATGCGAAAGGCTACCAGTTTGTTACACACTTAAATAAATTGCCAGATATGGCCAATTTGCTCAATTTACCTTTAATTCTATGTTTTTACTAATAATTAATGATATTTATTTTGTGGAAAAACTTTTATATTTTCTCTAAGTGCACATTTTTCAAATTTAACAAATGATCACTTCTAAGACAGTCCCATTTAATCGCAATTAATCACATTTTAATCGCATATAAATATTTGACCTGAGAACAGTGAGAAGTAATTTTTTTCACATGGATTTTTAGTTTACCATTGAATAATGACTGAATACATGAGGCTTAAGCAACACATGTTAATATGGAGTTTAAGGGATAACTTCTAAACATCAAATAACGTTTCTGTCATTGCCTCCACACTCTGACGACAACATATGCTCCTCCTCCTCCTCCTCACACTGACGACAACATACTCTTTTTAAGCCCAAAATCCACTGCATACGTTGTGAGCACTAAAGCTGGGCATGCGCTGTTTGCTAAAGCTTTTATAATATGTTTTTGATGTGTGCATTCGGAGTAAACATCAGCATTAGCAGCTCACACACCTGTGTCTCGCTCCTCCTTCTCCTTCTCCTCCTCCTCCGCTCACACAGGAGTCACTGCTCCTCCTCCTCACACACAGAGTCCATCGCTCCATACACAGCGCTCATTCCCGTCTAATTTACTCGAATTTAAAGTTGGTCTCTGCTTGTAATAATGTACTTTTGAACAAGAAAAGTCACGGAGCTCCGGTTGGTGCGTCAGTTCAATTGGTCCGTCTGAAACTTATTCAGTGAGGAACGTTCCGCGGTGCAAAAATACATACGATTAAAATGCGTAATTTTTTTTAACGCGCTTTTTTGTGTGTAATTAATTAATCTTTATTAACTTGTTAAAGTCCCGGCTCTAGTTTATATGCCATTTGTAAGTTGCATGTAAGTATGATTTAAACAAGAATAGCACTGGTAAGTGCTGCCATTTGAGCTATTTTTAGAACAGGCCAGCGGGCGACTCATCTGGTCCTTGCGGGCGACCTGGTGCCCGCGGGCACCGCGTTGGTGACCCCTGGTGTACACTATTTACACTTTATTAGACATTTGTTAAAGACCCTTTAGTATGACAATTAATCATTTATTAATACTGCAGTGCATTACTTATTAGTCAGTTACTAACAGCTACTTAAGAGTATTTGTGAGAAAAAACACAAGGATGACCAACATTTTCTTATAACAATAATAAGCCATGAGATATGAATACAGAATATATATTTAAAGTAGTACTAGAATTTAATATTCTGCTATCCAGAATATATAACTACAATATGTGTTTGTAATATTTCGGGGTTTTCATTTTGACATGTTCAGATAAATTATGTTACAAAAACGGCTTTGAAGTGGCACCTTTTCACTTCCGCCAAGAAACGCTAGGGTGTGCCAAAATGGCGGCTATGATGGTTCAAGCTAATTAGTGTTGGGCAAGTTAGCTACTTGAAATCAAGATATCCTAAAACAAGGCTAATATTTGTTTTTACATTATGCCAGTCTCACTTTGGTTACCTTAGATTTATTTACCACAATGTACATTGTAATATTCAAAAATGCTAATCAAAATAACTTGAATTAAATATTTTACTTTTATGAACAAAAAGCTGCAGAAGTTGAAAACATAGACACAAGAGCTAACATGATAACTACATGTGATGCAATCATTGATTAAGGGTGTATTCAGACCTGAAAAGTCCTTTGCTCCGCTTGCTTGATCCGAATCAAAAGCGGACCAAACTTTTTTCTTTTGCTCCGGTTCGTACTCAGACTGTCCTTTTTGCAAGTGAACTTTTTTATATAAACATATTGACACGTGTGACGATCGGCGCTCCTATTGGACAGCGAGAGCTCACGGAGGATAGATGCGGAACCGGCAGAAAACATTAAGGGCTCGTATGTGCAGCATGTCTGCTCTGCCTGTGTTTGCTCTTTTTAGACCAAAACCACCTTCAACATAAACAGCAGCTCATATGACACAGGCCAAACACGTTGTTTTAAATATTGGAACAGCATCGGGGAATGCGTGGGGAGAAAGCCGAAGGAGACTGTCTGTGCGCGCTGTGCCCTGTCCCACACATGGATCTATGATAATAACGGCCCTGTTCAGCATTGTGGATAAACCATGGATCTATAATAACCACTGGACAAACAGACGCTGAGGATCAGGTATGAACCAAAGAACACAATTCACTACATGATGCGGAATATTGCTTTTTGAGACGTGAGTCAAACAGTGTCAGGCTTTTAATAATGCAAATGATTTGAAGATGCTGCCATTAACATCAATGTATACTGTGAACAGTTGTAACTCCATAAGCCTGTTGCACAGTGTCTCCTCACTGCTCCAGGTCTGCACACGGCTCATTGTTGTTGTGTAGCGTTAGCATCATAGTTAGCAGCATAGTTAGCATCATAGTTAGCCGCTGCGTGGCTAATTCCTCAGTTTCTGTCTGTGGCTTGTTAAGCCCAAAAAATGCGCACGTATCTTGGAGTTGTGTCGGATCGACACCGGATGTATTCAGACCTGATTCGACTTGGACCAGAATTCGTTTGGAAGCGGACCGAGACCACCTCAAAAAGTGGGTCTCGGTTCGGTTCTTTGGTCCGGACCAGGATTCGTTTGTGTGTATTCAGACCTGCATAAAAGCTTCGGATCAGAGTTCCAAACGAATCCTGGTCCGTTTAAAGTGGAGCAAATGTGCAGGTCTGAATACACCCTAAAATTCTAATAAAACCGTTAATAGGTGTTAGCATTTATGGATATTACAATGTACATAGTGGTAAATAAATCTATGGCAACCAAAGTGAGACTGTAAAAATTAATATTAGCCTTGTTAGCATGTTTTAGGATATCTTGATTTCAAGTAGCTAACTTGCCCAACACTAATTAGCTTGAATCTCACAAATAAGGCTAAAAGGTTAAGAGTTGCACACTATTATGAACAAAACTGATGAAAATGTTTATACCTTGTTCAGATGAAAGTGAAACCTCCGATCGCTGCTCCTACAGATTCTATCCATGACTGCTGTCCGCTGCTGTGAGAGGTCATTCACCTACGTCATCGCCACCATTTTGGCCCCCCTAGCGTTTGTTAAAAGGTGCCACTTCAAAGCAGTTTTTTAACATAATTCATCTGAACATGTCAAAATGAACACCCGAAATATTATTAACACATATTGTATATTCTGGATAGCAGCATATTAAATTCTAGTACTACTTTAAAATTGCTTTACAAAGCTATAACAGGCCCTTAACAATGAAAAAAATAAAAGGGGTCAAAATCAGCCCCATGAATTAATTACACATGTAAACACGAACAGGAGGAGCATCATCTTCGAACTAGGGGTGGGCGATATGGGCAAAAATAAATATCTCAATTTCGTTTCCCGATAATGATATTGTCACGATATCTTTAAAATCAATCATTTTTACACAAAATGATCTGTAATGTTTTTCTTGCCAGGGCATCTGTAGATAGAGACAGTGTACATCAAAATAGCAGCTATTTATTTGTAAAGTGCTTCACACATCTTTAAAAACATGCACAAACATATATTAACATTAACAATCTAATTCAAGCAACACAGGAAGAACATTGTGAAGAATTGAGAGGTTCTTTTATAGTTGGGGACACTATGGACAGACTGTGGTTAGAGAATCTTTAATCAGCTTTATTGCAGTTTTGGCAGGAGATCACAGTTTTTATGTTGTATTTTTGTTGAGTGTGTAAATGTGTGTGGCTAAGGAAACAGAAATAGACAAAGGAAACAGTATTAATAACTATTTTATAGCGAATAACACATTAAACAATCAATTGCTTATGTGTCTGGGCTAGTAGGTACTAAAATAAGTCATAACATAGGTCCCCTTGAAAATACGTAAATAAGTGACGTAAACCACAAACAGAGGTAGCTCAAATGGAAACTAACATTACGAAGGTGCAGGGAAGTAAATATGACAAATAATAATAGCATAAATAGCTTAAAGTAAGCATATCTAGCTTAATTAGCTGCAGACAAACACAGATAGGGAAAATTCTCTTTTGCAAATAATTAGAAGCTACACAATGTAAATCTTCCTTCCCAGACTCTTCTAAAGATGACAAGAACTACAGGAACTTACTTCTTGGGTATTAAAAACGCACAAACAATGTAC